TCAGAATGATTAGAATTATGCACAATTTTTTCGAAAAATTTGCTGTAAAAAATAATGCTTTTCTCAATTTTACATCTTGATAAAGTATCCGCATAAATGTTGCTGTCGACTAAAATGAATGACGATTGCGATAATGATGAGGACGATGACAATGATGATGTTGGCGATGGTAATGTTGGTAGTGGTGACAATAGTGATGTAATGATAGCAATTTGGTGGTAGTAATAATGTTGATAATATGTTGTTGAAGCATTTGAAAAAAATTGGTAAAAATTCTTCAAAATTCTAGAAAAATTTTTTTGTTATTTTTAATTATAACACCACTATAGCGTATTATCTTCGCGCTTATTGATAGCTTTAACGCACTAGTGCCAAATAACAAAGACGAATGAAATATACAGTTGATAAAATACCAAAAAAAAAAAAAAAAAAAAAGCGAGAAACTTTCTTTTCCATCTTTGTATTTTACAGTTTCCTCCTTTATTTTGAATACAAAAAAAAAAGTTGTTTTTTTTTTCATATTAGCAATATTTTTTTTTTAAAGTAAAATCATTGAGAAAAATATCTGACGAAAAACAGCAATGACAAAGGAATGTGGTAAGAAGGAAAGTGCGGTGAAACGTGGCCAATAGTCACGTTACGGTATAATAAAAAAATGATTTGTTAAAGGCTTAAGTTTTTTTTTTTTCAATAATTTAAAGGTATCACTGTTGTTAATATTTTTTGTTGTACTTTTTTTTGCAATAACGCTATTACTATTATATCGTTTGCTGTTGCTCTTAATTGCTTTGTTAATGTAAGTGTTGTTCCCGGTATCAATGTTTGTCTAAAAATATTCTGTATGATTTTTCTTTGTTTATTAGATGAGACAAAAGAAAGTTGTAGAAATTGAACTGTTAGTAGTTATCTAAAGAGATTATTGTTCATTTTTACTATTTTTTTTTTGTTGCTGTTGTTAACATCGTTATTGTCGTTGTCCGCGTCATTTGTGGTAAATTTTGGCAGTTTTCTATTTGAATTTTGAATTTTAACGATGAATCAAACCTTATCATTCTTAACTGATGAATAATAGCGGTGTATGTATGCATGTGCATGTGCCTTTGCATGTGCATCTATGTTTGTGTGTGTCTGAGTGGTGTGTGCTGTGTGTGTGTGTGTGTGTGTGTGTGTGTGTGTGTGTGTGTTTGTGTGTGTGTGTGTGTGTGTGTGTGTGTGTGTGTGTGGTGTGTGTGTGTGTGTGTGTGTGTGTGTGTGTGTGTGTTTGTGCATGTTTATGTATGTGTGCGTATTTGTTTGAGTAAGTTCGTGTGCATATTTGTGTTGTATCAAATGTGTTCGTTTAAACTAGTAGTTTTCAATAGATTGCCGTTGTTTGGTTGGCCTCAGCAATCAAAGGTTTTTACGTTCTATGTGCAATTGTGAATTTTTACGTGA